AGGCCTCTTTTTGCGAGGCGGGCAGTGACGAAGAGACACTGCGCGCCCAGATCGGGAACAGACGAGAGAGCATGACGGCTACTAAGATGCAGACTCCCTGCACGCATACTGTTGTCTGTGAACAATCGCAGCCAAAAGGCAAGGCAATAACGTCCTTGTTGCGCACTTTAGATCCGCAAGAACAGCTCTAACATAGTCGCGGAAGGCATAGATCTGACAGGGATTCAAGCCGTCACCAACCCGCTAGAAAGGTTCTGGTACTCCACCTGAATGGACCAGTGCATCCGCAAATCATCAATCATGGCCCACCTAAACAGCTATAACAGTAGAATCTCCATGGGTTGTAGCGGAAGCGGTGGGCGCTGTTTGAAGCGCCAAAGCCGAAAAATAAAAGAGAAATCCGTCAAAAACACGCAAAATAGAACCTTATTGTTTGTGGGTTGATTTCCGAGCAAGGACGAGCAGCGGCCAAGAAAGAGTTCTTTGTACGTGTTAACCCGATAGCCACCATCATACCAACGAACTGACCATGCTTCGATTGATAACGCATTACACATAAACTTAAAGGATACGGCCACTTGAAGTGAAACGCTCTTCCTAAATGAAAAGCGAATAATGCTGCTAATAGAACCAAACTAGTGGCGGAGCACAGAAAAGGCTTGGAATACTTGTGCGCTGCAACTAGGATACTCCTTCCATTGGTGCATGTATGGACTCCCATGCTGCATAGGCACTAGATCATTCGTTCGCTTTAATCTTGAGGCACAGGTTTACTTGAACCTTTCAACCTATTGTCAAATAATTATCTCGCAATTGCCAAAGAGATCAGCCCGCAACAGTGATAAAAGGAAAGACAAGCCTGTACACTAAAAATGGAGTAGGCATAGTTGTGTTCAAGATATAAGCGAATACAAAAATAAAAATGAGATCTGTATCAATTATGCGAACAACAACAGAACCCGCCTGTATCTTTTTCTTTGAGCACTCTATTCTTTCTAATCGCCATCCAATGGACCGCGATGGGCATCGGAGAGGACATGCCGAGAGCCGCCAAAAGCACTGTTCACTTTCTTATCTGGGTCCACATGAGAGGAGTATAACGGCAGTGATTCAGCTGAGACATCATCTTCCGTTAATCGACCACAAACCGCCTCAGCGCTCACAACACCAAGATCTGCACCATCCTCCTGCTTGAATGACGCTTGCAAATTCGGAGCCAAGCTGTGCCCCATTTCGCACTTATCGCCCATTTGCTCTGAATCGGCCGCCTCCTCCTTCACTCTGAAATAAAATTT